GTTAACAAGTAAACATTTTTCATCGAAAATCATTGTCCTTCCGACGTCTGACTTCTTTTTAACTATAGCAAATGCGTTTTTCTAAGGTACATAAACTCTTGTGATCGACTGTATAGCCAATACATCCTTAACAGCCCTCTTCTATTAACAGCCCTTCCTTTGTTTTACATCGCTTCTCTTTCATTACTGATCAGCTATACCCAAGATGTTCAACACGTTCTGTTTTACATTACTAAACTAAACCTCACGTTAACAACAGTTTTCCCTGTTGCATTCATTCCGCTCAGCATCCAGTTTCAACAACAAACCCCTGGAACCTGACCTATCCTTGATCTCAACAATCCTCAACAGTGATAGATTCTGGACTCATGTCATCAATTTTCTATTTAGTTTGTAAAAAAAAGACCTAAAAATAGGTCATGGTTTTCGACGTTAATGACTTAATCAGACATAATCTACAATGTATATCTACAGGTATTCTACAAACTAAGTATAAACTGATGCATGAGTCGAGAACCTATCACTGGTCCTCAACTCTTCTTCGCTGTTGTTTAAAAAAAACCTTCGAAATTCGATATAGAATCTGAATGTGCATTCCACTTGGAAGTGCTTAGAATCTCGTTCGATCCGAATTCAATTAACTGATTGAAATAAATGGAATTCTGCTGTGCCGCATGGAATATCATAGGAACGGTCAGCTCCGCGAATCGACGCTGAGCATCGATTAGTTCCGTTAACGCGTCGCATGATGGTAATCGTTGACGCCGCTCGGTGTAACGCTGACAATTGGCGATAGTACGACTGATAGGGCAGGAAACGATAACGTTAGCGTGGAGAGAGAGACCACGAGGGTGGAGAGAGGATGCACGGAGCGGCACGGGTGGCGGACGGGTGGCTGTAAGATCGATCGTCGTGCGCCCCATTCTTTCGGCCATCCGTCCGACGGAGCAAACGAACCGAGCGGTCCGTGCGCTCGCCCGAACAATGATTGAACCGGGACTTTTCTCAGCCGACCGTTTTCCGTTAATCATCATCGTTCGCCGGTAGCCCCGCATCCTGTCGATCAGCCAACCGTCCATCTTCCGCTTCCGGAAGCCTCCGCGCGCCCGATTGAGATTCTCTCTTTCGGGAAGATTCGTTCGATTCGCATTGTTCCTCTTCGACGCTTGCTTCCATCTTGCGACGAGTCGATGCGTTCCCAATAATCGTGAAAAGGTTTCTCCCCGGCTTCGTCCGGCGCATCTAATTACCGTCCATTGTCTCGATGAGCCTCTCTGACTGCCGGTAACTAGCGCCGCGGTGCTGCGATCTGTTCTTTCCCTTCTCTATCGCTCGCGAGCGAATCTTCCCCGGGTACCAAAACGGTCCTCGAGGTTCACAACGTAAACGATCGTTTTGTCAATCCAGTTGATCGAATCCAGGTGTAATGTTCGATGACTCGGAGGAACGGTCAACGAAGCGGCCGCTGCTTGTGCGTAGATCTAACGGAATCGCGGGTCGAGTCCTGTGACTGCCGGGGGGGACAGTTGGGTCGCATGCGACCCCCGGGCGGACGAAGAGAAAACAAATCGGCAAGACCGGAAGAGATTAGATAGGAACCTACTGTTCCGAGCACGCCGTTCAAGCGTACACGTTTCCGTTTACCCCCTCGCGTCGTAAAAAACCCGGGACATGTGATACGCGCGGACACGTTCGGTCACGGGTAGTTCTCGCTTTAAAGACTCTTGGAACCGATTAACGAATCATGTGGGCTGCCGTCACGAGATCTTTGGAAATACTGGTTGCCTTCTTCGAGTATTACACGAACAGGTAAGAAATCTGTGTTAAAGTCGAACGACCGATACTATTGTTATCGATTGTCGATCGAAAGGCTCGCATATAAGTGCGATTCAGTGTTCTTCAAGCTACTCTAAAAGCGTGATTGCGTTACTTCTCTTGAACGATGGGTGACCATCGTACGGCTAACGGCTAAAGCTAATAAATGTTCTCTCTCTCTCTCTCTTTCGCTCCCTTTCTGTCTCTCGCTTTCTCTGTCTCTCGCTCTCTCTCTCTCTCTCTTCCTCTTCTTCTTCTTCTTTTTCTTCTTCTTCTTCTTCTTCTTCTTCCGCTCTGATGTTGCTGTTGCGAATGTTAACGTCACGTTTCGAGATTACGAAAGTTCAACCCCTTTGAATTTATTAGTCGCACCTCCCCCGAGGTGTTTCCAGTTGTAGTTAACAGGTTCGTGAATAGCGCATACATCGTTCGAATTGATGAATGCAAAACTGTGTAATTCTATTCGGTAGCATTGGAAAGTTCGTGATGCGATAGGAAATTGTACGTAGCGAGTCTAATAAGAGTACCGTCGCTGGAGACCCGATCCCGTAAATAGTCGACTCGGATCGCGTTCGCCGAGCGTGAAGCTCTCTCTGTCTATCCATGAACCACGCGGTTTTAACAGAGAGTCGATAAACAACGACGAGTTATTTTAAGTGGTAGTTTCTATTTACTCGTCCCGTAGAAGTTTCCAAGTAGTTGGTACGTCGATATAAATAGGCACGTAGAGTCCTGCGTTAAAGTGTTAAAGGTTAAGGGTTGCGACGCAAGGGTAAGGGGAGGGGGGGGATAATTTATTACCGGAAATTGTCCCGCATCCATCGAACCGGAAGAGCAAACGTGTTACCTCTTGTTAATCGTTCTCTCTGACGATGAGCCTGTCCGTGTTCTTCTTCCCTCGGCTATACCGGAGGTCCAACAACTCACCGATTCCTGTTCTGATTTCGTTTGTTTCATGCATCCCCCTATGCGGCCATTACGATTGGAATCCAGAGCACAATTGGAGTAAGTATGCCCACGAGCTGGTACGGAACAGCGTTATCAAACTTTTTCGACTTATAGACACTTATTTACTTGTTCTACTCTCGTTACTGCTTCACTTGACTCTTCTATCTTCTCTTTCAATTCTTCCTTACTAACGGGAATGTCCCATTTCGCGGATGGCCGCTGTTTTGTCTGCGTAAGTAGCTTCTATGATCTCAATTAAGAAAACGAATACACCTATCCTTCCACACAGATCTATAGACATTATATACATAAATATATGTATATACATACAATATATATATATTCCAATTCCTTGGATTTCAAGTCGCATCACACGTATTACCAGTATGTACCTATACTTGCGTGCCGCTGTCGTGCAATTTAGAAGGCAGTCTCTGTTCGCACCGCAACCCCGGCGAACCGGGGTGTTAGTTTTGCACCTCCTTTAGAAAATGAAAGCTGTACTTGATTGTTTCCTTCGGATTGAGACCGACCTCAGATACACCCGACGGTGAGAGAAAGAGGGAGAGAAAGGAGGACGGAGTCTCTTCTTTCTCTAGGGCCGGTCACGAACGAACGGAGCGGAATTTATTCCTTTTTTCCAACGATGTACCCACGTACTTAGTTAGACATCTTAGTGAACTTTACCGCTGCGCATCCCATGAGTGGTCGAACCGCTTTCACATACGTTTTCAAGCTGATTAGATATCGTAGGACTCGTGTCACATGCTCTGCACTCGTAGTTGCGTGCTTTAGACTTTAGACCCGTAGAGTCGTCCTTATTAGAATCTTTACGTAGCGCCTCTGATGGTCGTCAGCGAGAAGACGATCTTCTATAGCATTTGTGCGAATCCGGTTTGTATTGGGAATTGACACCGGGGCGGGATCAATAGATATAGCTGACCAACATGGCGACGCGAGGAATTAACACAGATTTATAGAGCGAATATATTTTTTTTAGAAAGAGAAATGATCTTTTTGCGCGGGAGTAATCCTTCCCAACGAAGGTTCATAAAAGATGAACGAGTGTACCAGGCGGGTTATATTATTAAATGCGGGAAAAATTCATACTGTCTTCTTCGTGGCAGAGGTGGATTAAGTGGTAAACGGACTAAGCAGGGCCCCAAAAAAGCGTGGGGGTCTATAAATATCTTAACTTAAAGATTTTAGAAATGACCGAAAAGGTTCAAAAATACATCACTTAAAATAATCAAACAAATCTAAAAACAAAATGTTAAATTTAGGGCCTTCAAATTGTACTCTTTAACTGTTTATTTCAGTAAATGTTTAATAATGACGCAAAGTATAACAACGTACTTTAATAATATTTTGTATGAGTAAGTTTTCAGAGTTTTGCTAAT